GTAGCTACCACTAGCACTTGAGATAATATGTCTCAAATATTTTATTTAAGTTTGATAAAAAGAGCACTTGAGCCGCCCGACAAAAAGTCGTTGGTCGGATAAAATTTTCAACATTCGTGCAAGATGCTTAGTATAGAGTTCTAAAGTAGAGTCGTATATCGGCGTATCAAACTATCATAAAAAAACAAACACAAACTTCCTTAAATAAGGTTCCAAAACTTCATTTATCATAGTTTAGAAGGTTGCGGATGCATTGGTTAATCCGAATGGGATAACCTTGAATTCGTAATGGCTTTGAAAGTTGTCTTCTCGATGTCCTCCTCATGCATTCGACTTAATGATAGTCGAACCGTAGATCAAACTTATAAAGAAGTAAGATCCCTTAAGCTCATAAAAAAGATCATCAATCAATGGAATGGGGAATTTTTTTTTATTATGATGATGTTGAGCTACTTGGAGTCCATATAAAATTGTCAAGGATTATCCTTCTTTTTAACCAATAGAATCTGGTGAAGCAAACAAAGCCGCAATTTGGTTGAATGACACCATTGTATAGCATTTTTTTGACCAATTTTTCAATTTCTTCTTTGTGTATGAAATAGTTCATTTAGGGTCTAATATTTACTTGCTTTATCTCTCTATTTTCCACTTTAATAGTTCCTCATAAGTTGTAATGGAGAAAAACTAACCAAAAACCCTATAAATAATTTCTCTTAGTGTTTTATGTGCATTAACAACTATAATCTATTGTAATTTATCTTTTTCAACGTCAATCATTCCCTTAAGCTCAATCATCATTTTTCTCTTTTTGAACGATAACATTCATCTTGACAAAATCAAACGAGATACAAGAGAACATCCTAAGTTAATCTACCTCTAAAACTATGTCACAACCACCTAGTTTTAAGTACCCATAAGTCCGTTTTAAACGGATATCCTTATATGAACCATGTAAACCTCGGACTTCTTACATAACACTTCATCACATCTCTATTGGCTATCGTCACGAGAGAGTGTAGAAGTTTCCTTAATCATAGCCTTGATGTCTTTTACCACCCTAAGATCAACGAAACTATGCATTCTTCCATCATCAATTAAGATGATAATCTCTTTATTGTTACATCATTCCTTAATTTTGATAGTATTGTGAGCATGTTTTCCTGTTAGGGCATGCAGAGAAAATCCAAATTCCTTATAGTTCTTCTCATCCAAGTAATCCATCCTCCTCGTTTCCTTCCTCTACATCCACGAATCCATCACCCTCTCTTTCTATACCTTTCATCATATTCAAAGCCTTTCTCACACATTGATGTCTAGGAGTGTATTTATCCTCACATCTAAAATAAAGCATTAATCTTCTCTTATGATCCTGCAAAATCCATATTTAAGGTTTTTGTAGGCTAGTATTTGTAGATTTAAACTAGTTAGTGTTTTCATTTCTAGTAAAAGTAATATAAAGTTTGTGGAATGGGTTGGTATTTAGCTTATCAGTATTATAGGCGGGGCATGTTTTGGTGTTGTTATAAGTCGAAGAGGTTATTTATAGAATTCTAGATTTTTTAGCCATGGCATTCATAGACACCTCTTGCCATCTTGTTTGGTCAAATGCTTGAATCAAAGTTGCAAGTTACAAGATCTTTAGCATAGGTTTGATATCTTCTTTGAGTTTGCTAACGAAGCTAGATACAAAATAAGACTCAAACAAATATGAATTATTGGCATTCATTAAAACTTGAGCTCCTCAAACTTCTCCACGTACTTGCTCCACTTATTGTTCTTGTTTAAGTTTATTGAACTCCTCCACTACATCCTACTATCAAACCTTCTACAAATCTCTCATATAAATTCTTTCGATTTCTTAAATCGTTTTTTACCATAAATCCTTCAAATCGGATTTCGACTTTTCCTTCCAAATATATGAAAGCAATTTCCACCCACCAATGAACGAAATGAAGTTCATCCCGAAATACCTCTTATATTTAAGAATCCAGCCTACATGATTTTCTCCTTCAAATAGATGCAAATCTATCCTAAGTATTGAAGAATTGTAGTCGGACCTCACAAACTCAAGATTTAACAAAGGCTCACCATGAAGAGCTTGATGGACTAGTTTTATGGTTGCATTTCCACCATATGAGGAACTAGAAGATGTTCGTTGTTATTTCTCGATTTTTTTCTACCATTAATGATCGAATCAACTTCATCGGACCTTCCAATTGAAGTTGCATTTGTTGATTTTGCTCCTACATTTGTTTTTTCATGGTTTCAACACTTTCTTAAAATTCTTGGTAAATGCATTACATGTGCTCTTTTTGCCTTCTATTATGTTCTTTTAGAGCTGCGGTTCTATTGTTATCCATCATAAGTGGTCTCGATTAGCTCGATACCAAATTGTTTAGGTTTCCTTAACATTTACGTGAAATGAAGAAGAAGAAGAATTGAGAGAGAAATTATATACGTCTCTCTGTTATAACAATCAAAACAAACTTAATGAATCCTCATCTCTCTCTCTCTGGCCACTTATACTATTAACCCATGCTACCTCATTAATTAGTTACGGTAATTAATTCTCCTTCTAACTACTACCACATCAACAGACTCTTCAAACCTTATTATCTTAATAACATAAATTATAAAAGAGTGTATAGCACACTAGTCATAAAATCTTGAAGTTTTATTGAAGTTGATCACCCATAGCATAAAAAAGGCATGTTTGTCTAAGAATGAAAAACATTGTATTAATTTAATTTTGAGCCAATTTTCAATCATCTAATATGTCAAGGAACTTAGGGTTTGTCCACTTTAATTAAGATAGGTGTCCATTGTTATGTTTCTTCGCCCTTCTCTTTCTCGAAAAGGAAAAGATGTAATGCTTGAATTAAATGGCATGATAAAAGGAACATAGAGATAAAAACTAGTAATTAACAAGTAACACCCATCTAAAGTTTTGCACTTTTGTTTTCCGTCTTTATTTTGCCTATATGATACACAAAACCTTATTACGAGCTTAGCCTATAAGAGAGAACTAGGAAGAGCTTTTAGGGTTGAACCCAACATAGAAAAAGTTTACAATTTTGGTCTAAAAATTTTAAACATTTTTAAACGAGACCATTTGAATTAAGGATTTTTTGATATAGGATACATATTTTTGCATGGGTTTTGCACATATCGAGATCTCGGATAGTTCGAATTTTTTTATTGAGATCCTAAGTTTTTCTATCTAATTTAAGAGTTATATTGTTATATTATTGTTGTTTCATACCCTAATATACCACGTAAGCACACGTGACAAGCTCTAGCCAATGACGAGCTTGGCGACTTACCACGTGTCATGGTGGGTCTAAGTTAGGTGATTGAATTGGTGAAGTGTTAAGTTATAATTGATTAAGATCTAAACAACGTAAGAGTAGAACCCTTAAATTGAACAAAAAAAATTAGGATATTAATAAGAAAAAATCTGAATTGTACTTGGGTTTCAATATGTGTACGCATTTTGCCTACATGATACACAAAACCTTATTACGAGCTTAGCCTATACGAGAGAACTAGGAAGAGCTTTTGGGGGCGAACCCAACCATAGAAAAAGTTTACAATTTTGGTCTAAAAATTTTCAACATTTTCAAGTAGACCATTTGAATGAAGGATTGTTTGATATATGATACATATTTTTGCACGGGTTTTGCACATATCAAGATCTCGAGCATAGTTCAAATTTTTTTATCGAGACCCTAAGTTTTTTTCTCGTCTAATGTAAGAGTTCGTTTTTATGTTGTTATTTCGGACCCTAATATGTCACTTAAGCACACGTGACAAGCTCTAGCTCTAGCCAATGACAGGTTGCACGTGTCATGATGAGTCTAAGTTAGATGATTAAATTGGTGACGTGATAAGCTATCATGGACTAAGGTCTAAAACGATGTAAGAATAAAACTCTTAAATTAGACAGAAAAAAATTTAAAATATTAATTAAAAAAAAATCTGAATTATACGAAGTTTTGTAGAACTCTAGATTCCTTTATCATCTTATTTTTGAATTTATTTTAATATTTTTCAATCTTGAAAGCTACGCTTTTAGAAATCTAGTTTCTAACCTGTTGTCTACCGTTTTAGTTTGATTGTCAGAAAGGTTCTGTAATGTCGTCTAACATAAGATTATTTCCTTGACATTTTATTATGAGCTGGGATGGGGTTTAAAATAAGCTGTTCGGTTTTAAAACATAGTTCCCCTCAGGATATATGGACAGAAATATATTTCAATCAATCAATGTCTGTGAAAAGCTGAAGTCGCAGAAAAGCAGGCACTTCCCGCTTCTTTTCCCATGTGCGGCTGCAATAGCGACAACAAAAAAGATCCGGATAAGGAGAGGTTGAAGGCAAATGACTAGCTAGCCTAGCAGCCAACAGGCAGGCAGAGTATTGGAGTGGGAATCTTATGGGAGGAAGTCGAGACTCTAGAATGCAGGCATTGATGGGATATCTATTAGACCACTAGATGTGAATGAAATGGTTATAAAATAGCGACAGGCACAAAATTCAACCCCCATTTGACAGCCGAGTAACTAACCCTAGAAGCAAATCAAGCAACGCCTGGTAGTCGCTTGCAAATCATGTGGCTCTTCGCCAGGCCATGTTGGCTTGACCGCTCATTTCATTTTGTCGATGATGCGAAACTGACAACAGTTTCTCCGTTACCATTAACATCTTCTATCCATAGAATCAAAGTTAAATACAATGGAGGCGACCATGATAGACTATTGTCTCATCCTGGAACCATGTCCTTGGGAATCAAATTACTTCGTGTTACTACTCAAACAAACTAATCCAATGGAAACAGAAAAACACAAGTAGAGCGAGGGGGAACCCCTCAAATGGGAACAGATATTCTGCACCTTCCAGTCAACTATATCTTGTGCAGTGACTGTTGTATACAACCGCCCCATCTTAGACAGCCCTAGAAAGATACCAACTAAATGTTCTATACCTCGTCATTTTTTCTTCTTCTATTCACATGCCAATTTAGTGTCAAAGCTGCTCAAGCAGATAGCAAACGCCTGAAATGCAGACAAAGGATACCGGTAATCCATGGTGAACATATCTTTCCCAACCTTACCAAACTGAAGAATGACCTTCTCGTGATCAGACTGAGCAGGCTGCGAAGGTGTTGGTGCACCAGCAGCAGGCTGCGTTGCAGCAATAAGCTGGAAGTTCTTGACAGAGGCAACCGACACTCTCCCACGGAAATTGAGGCACCAGCACTGCAACTGTTCATGCCATCTTGGTGACTTGTTCCGGAGGACCAGTGGTCTCTCCTTTCCCTCCTCATCTTCTTCTCGAGACCCAACAACGTCCGAGAACCGGGAACTGCTAAACTCAGTTGAATTGTCAATTGATTTGGAGAAGGAAATGCTCCTAAACGAGTCTTCAAGTGAGCGAGGGAGGAGCTCGGGCTGGCCTGGGACAGAACCACCAGGCTCAAGGGATGATACAGGGATTGAGTGCATGGTGCAGTGCATCCTTCGTGGACCCCGGGTGCCAAGCACATTCAGCTCATATGTAACATGAGCAATGTTATAGCTGCCAGTTGGAACCTTTGGAGAAACTTTCTTCGAGTGAAACCTACGGCTTCGGCCAGGTGGGGAAAGCTGAGCATTATTATAAGGGGGCTGTGTGTCATTAATTATAAATTTGGTTCCCAGAAAATTTGACCTGAGACAAGAACAATTAAGCATTTTAACACAACTTCAGATGCAAGCCAAAAAAACAAAAAAAAAACTGTGAAAGTTTAAGGATTTAATGTTCCTTTTGTGCATTATAGTCATTGCTGAACTTCCTATAAAGATATAGCACCAACTCACATGCATAACAAATCCTTACAATAAATGGTTCACATCAGGGTATTAATATCTTTAAGACCTTGACCCACTAGAAAGGTTTAAATTAATTCATCACTCTTATCTGTAAGATCCTTGATCGAGTAATGTTCCAAAGGATGCATGAAAAACCATCGATAATTACATTTCTGGTGCATCCACAGAGCAAACAATTATCACCCCCTCACATGGAGAAACTGATGTCCAACCAGACTAAAGAAAACTCTATTCTAATCTTTAGCCCAGCTTCAGGTATCACAAACAAAAAAATGACATAGCTAAGCTGACATTTAAACTATGGTTGCATATACTCACACAAATGTTAGCATGTAGCACCCATATACACTCCTATAGCATACATAGAGAGAACACAATATATTCCTAAAATAACACTGGAAATACAGTTCAACTTTACAGAAAGACTATGCAATGAAATTATTGACTATATAGCTAGGCAAAAAAAAACACCTTGGTCTAGTTGATAATGAAGGTTGCTATAATATATTAGCTCTTGAAGGGATTGCCATGCACGAGTTAAGCCAGCTTCAGACCACTATGGAATGTTAACAAGGTATATATTATGTCTTCATGCAGAAGGAAAGGAAATTACTGCAATTTCAGACAGAACTAATACAAAAATGGAAGCATAAATTTGGGGTACTTGCAACTAATCAAATATCAAACAGAAAATGAACTCTTACCTCAGTTTTCCAATATAAGTGCTACTTGATTTTGATATGTTGTCTGCATCCATGGAGATCACATATTCTGTGCAAGTAGTTCTCCGAGTGCGTTTTGCAGACAGAAGAAATTTTCCATTTTCAACAAGCAAAGCTGCAAAGCATTGAATTAATAAATAGCGTATTGATATAGAATGCTATAGTAGATTGGGGAAACTTTGTATCAAACAGTTTAGTTGCTGCATGAAAATATTAAAGTAAAAATTGCTATCTTTGGGAAGTAATAGCCTAGTCAAGAGGATAGCTTAGAACAGCAGCCTTAGTAAACAGTTTCCAACAGTTTGCTTCATAGATATTTAAGAATTGGCATGCACATCCTTAATGAAGAATTTGCTACCCAAATACACAACTGACTTGTAAAGAAGAAATTTCCTTCTCAATAAAATCATAGTGCAAATCACTTGAACAAACTCGTTATAAAATAGGGGTGGCTCATTGAATAACGGTCTTTCCAGGCAGTAGGACAAACTTAATAGAAAGAAAACTGAGCAGATTGTATAGTGTGTATTACTTCATAATAAACATTCAAGCAAACAGAATGCTACAGTAGCTTGCAAGCATGTGTGTGTGTGAGAGAGAAACACATCAGATGCAAATCAATCAGACATATGGATCACAAAAACAACTTGCAGCAACCAAGTTGGTCTCTTTGCAACATAGGAGTTGAATCGAAACTAATCAGAAAGAATCATGCTTCCAGCAGGCCGAATAACGCACAGAAGCGACTTTTAGTTTTGTCACAGTACTAAGATGGCCCCATTAATGCAACTTTAGAGGCATCATGTCATTAAGAACAATCAGCACAGCTAACTGTAGAAACTACAGCATCATGACACAACCAAATCCTGGGATCCATGAAGACAACAAGAAATCAGAGAGAAGGAAACCAGGGATGGTAAGTTAACTAGGTACATTAATATAAGATCCACCAATTGCAAAACAGGTCAAATAAAAGTCCTGACAACCAATGCAAATGTCAAGAGAAAAGCTCACCAGGGCTAAGGCAAAGGAAAAGATGGTAAGTTAAGTTTGACTTGTCCCTCTTTATGAAGCATTGGATGGTTCCATCCCTGGGCCCTGGCTATCAACGGATAACAAAAAAATTGCCAAATTATCATTCTGTATCATAGAAAACCTCTTACAAAATAACTATGTACATCCATATGTTAATGCTCAGATAGAATCTTGAATATACAGAAACTGGTAGAAGGAAAAATAACCTTATATAACTATGCAAACGACCTCATATTAAGATATCATAGAGGCAAGACGAAGGATGCAAGAACCTCACCTGCTTCAGGGAAACAGGGAAGGTGATCTTCCCAGAGAACTCTGGACTTCTGACAATATCTTTACACATTTCCCGCCAAGCCCTGCACACAGAAGCACAAGCAACAACATGCTTGCGAGCAGGCCATGTGCTCTCGCTTGCCTCCAATCTTTTGATCACATCTCGCAGTAACTCAGGCGGAAGACCAGCCCAAGGACTATCTTGGATGACCACAGGTTGGTCAAGCAACTCACAAGCTGAGCCATGAGATTTCCCTCTGAAATGACCTGGCAGTCTGACCTCAAAACTCCGCCTAGACAAGCTCCCAAATCCATCCCTCATATCACGAACTATACTACGGAATGACATTTTCTCTAGTACACTGGTAGCCCTAAGTTAATGAACACTTGAATGTGGCTGCTGCATAAACTGGATTTAATCTTAAGTGGATGAAAGACTACAAACCATAACACGTGTGCACAACTGCAAATCAACCAGAATAGTTTTAAATTCCAGCTATTACTACAATGCTTACGAACCAAGAAAGAAAAGAGAAAGATGAGAGATATGGGAAAAAGCACGAAGCAAGTAAAGAAGATTCCAATAAAAGAAAAGAGTCACATGGACCAAAAGCACCTAAAATACCAGACTTTTATCAGAGACGTCTTTTGGCGGGTTTTAAAATAATCTTTAAATCCAAGTTGCTATCAATTCAAATCTAACTTTCTTTTAGTACACTCTCGCTCAAATTAAGATTCATAATAAAAAGGAAATATTTAAAAAACTATACTTGCTCTTAATTACAAATTATACAATTAAGGAAAAGAAAAGAGAAGCAGCAAACTCATTTGCCAATTAAACTCAAATCTGACTACCTGTATTGTAAAAATTAATCCAAATAAAGAAGCTTAAACCAAAACTGCAACAAGCAAACCATATCTCAAAACAGAAAAGACTCGGACTGGGTCTGGGTCTGGGTCTCAAACTAGAGTTCATAGATAGCACTACCACACCTTTTAGAAAAAAAAAGTCAAAAGTTCATCTCATGAAGAAATTTAAGAACCAAGTCTTAAAAAGTAAAAAACATAATCTTATATGAAGATGCAAGAGTTTATCAGTTAATCAAACGGACGTGATAAATTATACGAGGAGGAGTTCTTTCTTATCTGTGTTTATTATCTAATTTACTTTTAGGCCCTTAATTTTTTTTTAAAAAAAAAATCGGGATTAACATTATAGGACTGGAATCATAACAAGTGTCTGAACAAAACATTTCAGGTTCAGAAAAGAAATCTAGAAAGCAAAAAACTAACCTTTTATACCCAGAACCTGATCAAATATCCATTCTTCACTCTCCAACATCAACGATCAGAAATTTTGAGCAAAATCACAACTTCCCACATAAACTCTGCAACAAAAACAACACTTCGTCCTCACCAATGCACCAAAATCCAAAATGTTTGCCAACCCACAAAAGGAAAAGGCTTAGGAAGTTCAAAAACCACGAGAGAGAGAGAGAGACAGTTGGACTATCTCAAGTCCGAAAAATGAAATCTTGCACCAACTAAAAAGGAAAGGAAGAAATGGGTCTTGGAAATTCGAATCAAAGATATAAATTCAGACATTTTGTTGGGAATTACCTCGAGAAACAAGCAGAAAAATCACCGAATCCAAGAAACAGATCTTCATAAAGTAAAAGGAAAAAGAAAAATGGAAGTATAATCACAGAAATAAAGCATAATAAGCTCACCATTCTTCCCTACTGGATCAGATCCTTGGCTTCACCACACGGTTTCTCTCACTAGAAAAGTCTACAACAACAGGCACAGACGGATTTGAAATTTCATAGAATCCAATTTATGAAACTACGAGCATAGGCGTAAAAGAGAGAATTAGCTTCATTTTATTTTATTATTATTTTTTCAACAAAAGAGGTTGGTTTCATTTTATAAAAATCATAATGCATGCTCCCATTTTAAGTAGTAATAAATTAAACCCAAGTGGAACTTGTCTCTTTCCTTTAATTAATGTCCAGACACTGCCTTATCTTATCTTTTCACAAATTATCATTTCGGTCCTCTACGACGGTTGACCTTTGCTCTCCGTTTCATTTATTCAACTGCCGTTATCTTACTCTCCAGCTGCTTTATGTTTCTTTATTCGAGTTTTTTTTTTTCCTCCTTTCTCTGATGAAAGCAAAAGCGCTAGTTTCATCCGGACTGATATAGCTAGCCTCATGGGCTTACGTGGTTAGAAATCTGTTGGACTTGGGCTTAATAACTATGTTCCAGACCTCTAGTTTTTGAGTAGTTTTTCTAAAATCACTATCGTTGCTAGATCCTCGAGTGAGTTTTGTCTTTTGAACTCTTGGCCCTTTAGAGTGCCACTGGTTGGGCTTCTAATTTCTTTTTTGTCATCGAAGATAAAACCTGAACTCAAGAGCTCAATATCGTTGCGTGCTATACAAACAAAAAACTTGGGAAACATGTTGATAACAAAAGAAATGCTACAGCATCCAACATTTGCTACCTTAATGATTAGAAAATGAATTTTTAATATAACCATTCAAAAACCATAGTAGTTTTCAAACAATGTATAGCTTGATATGTAGCCGTACTGTCACGTATATGATGATAAATTTGTGAACTAATAGAAAAACTTGATTTATGGCACATTGATCATCCTTTTTCTTCTTTTTCTTTTTTGGGGAATAGGGTCGTATCTGAAAGTATATTAATATCAAAGTGAAAAAAGAATAAGAGGGGAATAACTTCAATCTAGCCCAACATACTAGGAAGACAAAAAAACTAAACCCTCTACTCAATAAACATCATTTACAAAAAAATCATGATAAACTGAACAAAAAGCTCCTAAACATAACAAAAAAAACTCTAAATTCTCTAAATCATAGCCCTAACTATAGTCGGATAAATTAATTAAGATTTGAACGATAATTGAATATACTATTCCTATCATCTAAAATCGCCTTGCGACAAGACAAAGGTAGTTCATGTATCGTAAAAGTGATTTTGCTTGTACGATAAAGAAAGACCTAATCTGCAAGCCTGTAAGATGCAATATTTTCTTCTATGTGACTGGTCATCCTTTTGGCTTCATTAATTTATTTATGATCAATGCTTAATTTATGTGAACAACTGTGCTATACTGCTGTTGAATGTGCTCATAAACAATATGAATGTGAATTTTATTTGCCAAAAGTGATGTTCATATGCGTCATAGATGAACAAAAAGAGATCCCATTCTGTCACTAGCTCGTGGATGTTAAAATATTTGGCTAATCGCAACTTGAAAAGAAAAGGTATGCGCCAAAACTGCTAAAGGAGTCCATATATAGTGCTGATGTGTTATCTTAACAACAAAAAAGTCGAACTAGTGACCACTATATAAGCCGAGTTGCAATCTCTTCTTCTATGACCACAAAAAGAAATTAAAATTAATGTCCTAATCAATTAATTAATTTTTGCCGGCTTTCAATTGAAGCTCCAACCATCTCCCTCCCGCTGTGTGCATTATATATATGTTTGCTACTGTAGGCACAAAAATCTTCCCGTAATCATCTTGTATTAGTAGATATTTAGCTATTCTGCGAACAGAAAAGCAAAAGCTCATAATTACACGGGTTGGCAAAATACGTTCTCCAATTGGGTTTCAAGTTTAAACACCCACTTTGGAAAATCCAATGTTTCCGATTAATAAAAGAAAAGGGAAACGAGACATGTTACTCCTAATCTCGATTACTTTTCAAAATGGGAATAGGCTAAGTGATTTAACTAGCTATGTGTGACAGTATGGTAATCAACTGGGCCATATGATATATAGAGAAAAACCAAGGGAATTGTTTCATTTGTTTCATAAGTTACGGAGACTCGCACATTTTTAATGAGATTTTTTTACAGTACTTTGATTGTTCTAGAAGTACAAAATTTTCAAGATCATGGGTTGAAACTCAAAAAAAAAAAAATGTTATTTAATACTGAGAAAGAGATGGGTAAAAAAAAAAAAAAAGGAGCAAAAAGCTTATCTAAAACATGGGGGAAAAAAAACAGTGGAAATGATTTCCACGATCCAAAAAACGAAAATGAAAAAAACAATGTAAATGATTTCCATCTTTTCCTTTGTCCAATGTTGAGTATGGTCACTCTATATAATAGCATGCGCGATATGGGCATGTATTTATTATGTACATGTGCGTGTCTATTTATTCTCAGAGAGCGAAAATAGCTAGGGAGAGACAAACAAAGATCCCTAGCAACCTCCAGCTCTCTGATGTCCGACTCGATAAGAGTCACGGGTGGCCTTGGCCAAGGTCAGCTATGGCGCAATCAGAGTTTGATCAGTGTCTATACGCCACCTAAGCATCCAGTTGCAAAGACTGAAGTGCAGAGCCATCAAGTATTGATATTGGCACTTTAGTTTCAATATGTGCAGGATAGCAAGCTGTGCGTGCTCACTACCCAGAATCTGTCAATCATCAGTTGAATTATTGAGCTCTGTGGCTCTTAATTTCAAGTCAGTGAATGTTAATAGAATCAAGGATGTCTGTTTTGTTGTGTCCTGGATTTGTTTCCGCTGTTGGCTCAGGTCTTGCTCTCTTTTGAAGATCAATCTGGTGAGCTGATCTCAAAGTACTAACCTACTTCTCTTTGTACTCCTCAGTCCTGAGTCAGGTAGGTGGTGTGGTTCTGTCTTCTGTGTTTGGAAGGATATATCGCGTCTTTTAATTAGCTGTGATGAGAATTACTGGTGGACATATGAAAAATTTTCTTTTCTTTATTTTTGAACCATGTGTGTGACATGTAAATGATGCGTATTACAAATTAAGTCCTAATTCATTGTTGTTGTTATACAAAGTTCTGTCATCTTTCTTTTTTCCTTTTTAAACAACCACAAAAACTAATTTCATTGATTTGAGAAATCAGATATAAATCAAATACAAATCAGGACATTAGCAATTTATAAGTTCCAGTTAGTTAAATTATAACTGTTACAGTTCTCTTACAAAGAACAAAAAAAAAATCATGAATTACAAAGAAAAAGAAATTGCTAGGAGACCACCTTAGCAAACATAATTCACGACGATCTTAATTTTAACCCCCGTTTGTTAAACATGAGATGACCAAACTCATAATAGCGCTAGGAGACCACCTTCAGTACTCTCACGAATTATGCATATCAATATAATTAGAATTCAATGAAAAGGAAATCATAGCAGAGGGGAATTGTACGAGCTTAAAAAGAAACTGACGGAAAAATACGGGACCGCCAGCCACAAAAATCTTGGTCCTAATCAAGGCACTCAATCACCCAACGGTAACGTTTAGTCTAGGAATGAAAGGGATTTTAACACG